TAATCATCCCTCCATCAATCCGATTCACAACTCCACAATATCATCAATACGGGGTTGTCAAGAAAATCGTATAAAGGCTCAAAGGGGCGACTAGTGAGTGTTATTCAAGAGAAACAAATGGGGATAGAAAAACAATGAATGCCTCTGTCATATTTACCATTCGCAACCAAATTGAACTATTTCGAATCAACCTCAAGGCAAGTTCTAACATCATGAGATCTTGACCAATATCACACAAATGGGCTCAAATCTCACGGGTATATATATTCAATTATCAGTCAACATAACCAAGCAATCACCAAGATAAGTTACACAAGATCATCATCACAACTTCTCATACTTAATCAAACAAACATCAACAAGCCTTGCAATCCCCAAGGTACATGCACGGAACACACAAAGACTCAACTAGACTAAACACATCACATAAACCAAAAATCAAACAAACATCAACAAGCCTTGCAATCCCCAAGGTACATGCACGGAACACACAAAGACTCAACTAGACTAAACACATCACATAAACCAAACAAGCAAAGCTCCCCCACACTAAAAACCGGACAATGTCCCCATTGTCAAATTCGTAGAATGAGAGAGTGACAAGCAAGTAAGAAAAGATAAGAGAAACGAATAACTGACTCAAAATCCACAATAATACAAAAGGCAAAAGAAAAACAACTGACTCAATGTCCACGAAAAAGCAAAATAAAAGAGAGAAAGGGAAAAGGAAAAACGTACAACGCATAGTGACAAGTCACTATGCATGTGGTGGTGGCTGAGGTGGGTGGTCATAGCTGCCCGGCCCCTGATGTGGGACCCACTGGGTGAACATCCGATCCCAGCTGTCCATGCGAGCATCCTGCTGGTTCTGGCGCTCGCGAATGGAACGAAGGCCGCCATCCACGTCATCGAAGCGGGTGCTCGTCTGGGTCCAGTGGGTCTGCTGCCGAGTCTGCCACTGGTCCCACTGGTCCCTCTGTCGGCTCTCGAAGGTGGCTAACCGAGTATCCTGGGCATCGAACCGGTCGTGGATGGAACGAATGTCCGCCCGGTACTCGGTCTGGAAAGATGTCCACCAGGCCGGGGGGTGTGGCGGCGGCATCTCGTGCTGTGGGTCCGGGGCGGGGATCCAATGTTCGGGAGGCGGTAGGAGATGATCTTCATCCACGAGCATCCTCTCATGCTCGTCTGTGTCAGTCGGCTGGCGGGACGATCCGGGTCGATCAGTAGTAGGGACACTCTGCCCAAGCCGCTGAAAGTAAGACGTGAAGGCCTGACGACTCATATATGGCTGGGCTGTGGTCCGGGTCTTGATGAGGTCGGCATTTTTGAGCTCGGCGAAGTTGATGCATCGCATCGTAGACTTGTCCTCGTGATAGATGATGTCGTGAAGGTTGTACGGCTCTGGGTCGACTCCGAAATGGCGGGCGAGTGCGGTGACAAAGTGCCCCAATGCCGGAACGCCACGTCGGCTGAGTGCCACTTCCTGAAGAGAGTTCTGGAAGAAGGTCATGGAGCATACTCGCACGCCCGCCCGCATCGCCCAGAGGAGGAAAAGCTCGGTCTCGCTTATCTTGTTCGCCTCCTTCTTCCCGGTGATGTTGTAGCCGATGAACCGGTGGACCACGGCCGTAGCTAAATCCTGGATGAGCCCATTCGACATCCCGCCGGAATCCCATTTGGTATGCGGGGAAAGCTCTGCCCAACACGCCTTAGCGTCGAAATCCGGGGCTTTGTTACGGGTACCTTCGAAGGTGAACCCGCACACCCGCTCCATAACGTCGTTGTCGACAACGTACTCCTTCCCCTTGAGCCGACAAGTAAAGAACTCGTTCCCGTCGGCGAGAACAAATGAGCTGAAAAACTCGAGCATGAGGCTCCGGAAGGATGGCTCCTCGATCTTGGCGTAGTCGATGAGGTTGAGGACCCGTAAGTACTTCAGCACGTCGTCGAGGATGCCTAAGTCGTTCAGGAGGTCCCAATCGATCGCCTTTGGTCGCACAACCTCCTTCTGCGAGAGACGGGCATAAGCCTCACCCTCCTTCCGAGAATAGATCGGGAAAGGAGCGCCGTATTGGTCCGATAAGTCGTCTCGGTCGACCTCCGGAGGGGCATCACGAGCGGAAGACTCGCCCGCTCGGCGCTTCTTGGTCGGTTCTTGTGCGGTTTTCTTCTTGGTGGGACGAAACGGATTTTTCCTCATTGAATTGTCTTTCGGGAAAAACGTCGAACACTTGGTGTGCGGGATTCAAACCAAGAATTTGTGGATAATTTAGGATGGTTCGATCCCGGAGTCGGCCTCCTCACGCCTCAGCAATCACACAAACGAGATGAAAGGATAGCTATCGGTACCTTGTGATCGATGTTTGGGTACGAACCGAGCAATCCACGAGTTCGATGACGTGGGTCGGTGAAGAACGGTGGAATGCCGGAAACTGATTGGTCACAGGTGGAGGGTCGCGGTGGTGATGTCGCCGGAGTGTGATGTCGCCGGAGGTTGATGGTCGGAGGTGCTCGTTGGTGGGATGTGGATTGACGGTTGGGTGTGGGAATTTGGGAGTTGTCGAGCGTAGGGGATTTGCACGGTGGAGGGAGGTATCGCAGGAAAGTTGTTGCCGGAGGTGGAGGTCGGAAATGCGTGATGGTGGTCGTCGCCGGAGAAGATGTCGCGGTGGTGGTGCTCGAGAACTGTTGATTGCAATCGCGAGAGAGAAAGTGAGAGTTGAGAGGTCGAACTGTCAAATGGCCCTCTTTTAATTCATTCGTCGTGTACGTCGCGGCCGCGACTTCATCCCGCGGCCGTGAGATTTCATCGCAGAAACCCAAGCACAAAATGGGACATTGATCGCCGCGGCCGCGGCGAGTAAACGTCTCGCGGCCGCGACCAGCTCCCGCGGCCGCGACCTCATTCCGCGGCCGCGGAAATTCGGTGCAGAAATGGGCCTCTAAAACTCGAGTTTCAACGCCGCGGCCGCGGCGAGCAAATATCTAGCGGCCGCGACAACGTCCCGCGGCCGCGACTCTTGCCCGCGGCCGCGAGTTTTACCTGCAGAAATCCAGTTACACTCGAACACAAATTCAACGCCGCGGCCGCGAGAATATGCTCC